GGGAATGAGCCCAGAACGGGCCGGGAATGAGCCCAGAACGGGCCGGGAATGAGCCCAGAACGGGCCGGGAATGAGCCCAGAACGGGCTGGGAATGAGCCCAGAACGGGCTGGGAATGAGCCCAAAACGGGCTGGGAATGAGCCCAGAACGGGCTGGGAATGAGCCCAGAACGGGCTGGGAATGAGCCCAGAACGGGCTGGGAATGAGCCCAGAACAGGCCAGGAATAGCCCCAAAACAGGCTGGGAATGAGCCCAAAACAGAGTCCCAAAACAGGCCGGGAATAACTCAAAACACAGTTCCAAAACAGGCCGGGAATAGCCCCAGATGGGCCCCAAAATAACCCCTGAACAGAACCTGAAACAGGTGTCCCCGCAGTGTCCCCAGGGTGTCCCTGCAGTGATCCCGGGTGTCCCCAGGGTGTCCCTGTGGTGTCCCAGGGTGTCCCTGCAGTGACCCCGGGTGTCCCCTCAGTGTCCCCTCGTGTCCCCGCGGTGTCCCCAGGGTGAGGACGTGCGCCGGGAGCTGCTGGCGCAGGCTCAGGCGCTGCCGTCGCTGCTGTCCCGCGTCGGGGACGGTGCCAGCGCCCTCGGGGACGCCATCGAGCTGTACCAGGCCTGCGTGGCCTTCGTGTGTGACAGGTGGGACGGCCCCGACACCCCAAACGGCCCCAAAACAGCCCAAAAACAGCCCAAAAACAGCCCCAGCGCCCCAAAACGGCCCCGAAACATCCCCAGTGCCCCAAAATGGCCCTGAAACAGCCCTGGCGCCCCAAAATCAGCCCCAAAACAGCCCTAACACCCCGAAACAGCCATTACACCCCCCAAAACAGTCCTAAAACAGCCCTGGCACTCCCAAAACAGACCCTGTCCCCCAAAACCAGCCCCCAAACTTCCCTCAGCCACCCTAAAACAGCCCCAGAACAGCTCCCGGTCCCTCCCAACCCCTGGCGCTGCGGGTGCTGCGGTGTCCCCAGCCCCGGTGTCCCCATGACCAATGTCCCCCTGTCCCCTCTCTGTCCCGTGTCCCCTCTCTGTCCCCTGTCCCCTCTCTGTCCCCTGTCCCCTCTCTGTCCCGTGTCCCCTCTCTGTCCCGTGTCCCCTCTCTGTCCCCTGTCCCCTCTCTGTCCCCTCTCTGTCCCCCTGTCCCCNCCGCGGGACGAGCCCCCCGGGGTGTCGGGGACGCCCCGAGCCCCTCGGGGTGACCCCGCCGTCCCCCCAGCCGAGCTCTGCAGCCTGCTGGGGCGCAGCGTCAGCTACGAGGCGCCGGCGCTGCGGCGGCAGCGGGGCCGCTGGCAGCAGGCGCAGCAGGAGCTGGCGCGGCGCGAGGACGAGTGCCAGCTGCGGGCGGGCGAGCTCCGCGAGCGCTTCCTCGGCTCCTGCCGCCAGTACGGCATCGCCGTGAGTGCCCGCGCCGCGCCGGGGCAGCGGGACGGGCTGGGGAGAGTGGGAATGAGCCCAGAATGGGCTGGGAATGGGCCGGGAATGAGCCCAGAACGGGCCAGGAATGAGCCCAAAACGGGCTGGGAATGAGCCCAAAACGGGCTGGGAATGAGCCCAAAACGGGCTGGGAATGAGCCTAAAACGGGCTGGGAATGGGCCCAAAACGGGCTGGGAATGAGCCCAAAACAGGCTGGGAATGAGCCCAGAACGGGCCGGGAATGAGCCCAAAATGGGCTGGGAATGAGCCCAGAACAGGCCGGGAATAGCCCCAAACACAGCCCCAAAACAGGCCGGGAATAGCCCCAAACACAGCCCCAAAACAGGCTGGGAATAGCCCCAAACACAGCCCCAAACAGGCCGGGAATAGTCCCAAATGGAGCCCTAAACAGGCCAGGAATGAGCCCAAAACAGGCCGGGAATAGTCGGGAATGAGCCCAAAACAGGCCGGGAATAGCCCGGAATGGGCCCTGAAATAGCCCCAAACAGACCCTGGAACAGGTGTCCTCAAGGTGTCCCCACATTGTCCCCAGCTGTCCCCTCAGTGTCCCCAGGGTGTCCCTGCTGTGTCCCCAGCTGTCCCCAGGTATCCCCACGGTGTCCCACAGTGTCCCCTCAGTGTCCCCAAGTGTCTCTGCGGTGTCCCTCTGGTGTCCCCAAGTATCCCCACAGTGTCCCCAGGGGGTCCCTGTGATGTCCCCAAGTGTCCCTGCAGTGTCCCCAAGTGGTCTCCCATGTTCCCAGGGTGTCCCCGTGGTGTCCCCAAGTGTCCCCTCAGTGTCATTAGGGTATCCCCAACCATCCCCTCAGTGTGCCCAAGTGTCCCCAGAGTATCCCCGCAGTGTCCCCAGGGTGTTCCCAGCTGTCCCCAAGTGTCCCCGCGGTGTCCCCGCAGTATCCCCAAGTGTCCCCTCAGTGTCCCCTCGTGTCCCCTCGTGTCCCCAGGGCGAGGACGTGCGCCGGGAGCTGCTGGCGCAGGCTCAGGCGCTGCCGTCGCTGCTGTCCCGCGTTGGGGACGGTGCCAGCGCCCTCGGGGACGCCATCGAGCTGTACCAGGCCTGCGTGGCCTTCGTGTGTGACAGGTGGGACGGCCCCGGTGCCCCAAAACAGCCCTGGCGCCCCAAAACGTCCCTGACACTCCAAAATCAGTCCCAAAACAGCCCTGGCGCCCCAAAACGTCCCTGACACTCCAAAATCAGTCCCAAAACAGCCCTGGCGCCCCAAAACTGCCCCAAACCCAGCCCTGACACCTCCCTGAAACAGCCCAGGCACCCCAAAACTGCCCCAAAACCATCCTAAAAGAGCCCTGGCACCCCAAAACAGCCCTAAAACTGCCCTGACAGCCCCAAAACAGCCCTAGCACCCCAAAATCTGCCCCAAAACAGCCCTGGCACCCCAAAACGTCCCCAGAACAGCTCCCAATCCCTCCCAACCCCTGGCGCTGCGGATGCTGCAGTGTCCCCAGCCCCGGTGTCCCCATCCCCAATGTCCCCATGACCAATGTCCCCCATGCTCCCTGTCCCTGTGTCCCCAACTGTCCCCATGCCTGCTGTCCCCATTCATGTCCCCTCTCTGTCCCCTGTCCCCTCTCTGTCCCGTGTCCCCTCTGTGTCCCATGTCCCCTTTCCCCTCTCTGTCCCCATGTCTCCTCTCCTGTCCCCATTCATGTCCCCTCTCTGTCCCCTGTGTCCCCTCTCTGTCCCCCTGTCCCCTCTCTGTCCCCATACCTGCTGTCCCCATGTCTCCTCTCCTGTCCCTATTCATGTCCCCTCTCTGTCCCCATGTCCCCTCTGTCCCCATGTCCCCCTCTCTGTCCCCTCTCTGTCCCCTGTCTGTCCCCTCTCTGTCCCCTGTGTCCCCTCTCTGTCCCCCTGTCCCCATCCCCTCTCTGTCCCCATGTCCCCTCTCTGTCCCCATATCCCTGCCGCTGTCCCCGTGTCCCCTCTGCTGTCCCCATGTCCCCTCTGTGTCCCATGTCCCCTGTCCCCTCTCTGTCCCCTGTCTTCTCTCTGTCCCCCTATCCCCTCTGTCCCCTCTCTGTCCCCTGTCCCCTCTCTGTCCCGTGTCCCCTCTCTGTCCCCCTGTCCTCTCTGTCCCCTGTCCCCTCTCTGTTCCCTCTCTGTCCCCTGTCCCCTCTCTGTCCCCTGTCCCCTCTCTGTCCCCTCTGTCCCCGCAGCCCCGGGGCCGAGGCGCTGCCGCTGCTCCGGCACGTGGCGTCCCACGGGAACTCCTCGGTGTTCCGCTGGCGAACCGGGCGGGAGCCGCGGCGCCTGGAGCGGCCCGAGCCGGCACCGGAGCCGGAGCCGCCGCGGGAGGACGCGGGGGACACGGGGAACACGGTGGGGACATGGAGGGGACACGGGGGACACGGTGGGGAACACGGGGGACACGGTGGGGAACACGGGGGACATGGGGAACATGGAGGGGACACGGTGGGGGCACGGGGGACAGGGGGACACGGTGGGTGCCCCGGGGGACACCCCGGGTGGCTCTGCCGGGCCGGGCCGAGCCTCAGCGCCGGTCCGGGGCCGTTCCCGCAGATCGACTGGGGGGATTTCCCCGCCGAGCCGCCCCGGGGCGGCGACACCGGCGGCGACACCACGGAGCAGGCCGGGCCCCAGGTGGGTGACGCCCCTGTGTCCCCAAATGCTGCCTGTGTCAGCCTTTGTCACCTTTGTTCCCCAGGGGAATGGTGGCCTCGATTGGGGCAATGTCCCTGTGTCCCCAAATCCCCTGATGTCACCCTGTGTCACCCTTTGTCACCTTTCATTCCCCAGGGGGACAATGGCATCGGCTGGGGTGACGGAGAGAAGGGGATGATCACAGCAGAGCCCAGCCCCCAGGTGGGTGACACCCCTGTGTGTGTCCCTGTGTCCCCAAAGCCCCCCTGTGTCCCCCTTTGTCACCCAGTGTCACCCTTTGTCACTTTTCATTCCCCAGGGGGACGACGGCATCGACTGGGGCGATGGCGAGAAGGGGACAATCGCAGCAGAGCCCGGCCCCCAGGTGGGTGACACCCCCAGGGCTGGGTGTCCCTGTGACCCCAGACCCCCCCAGTGTCCCCCTGTGTCCCCCTTGTCACCCTTTGCTCCCCAGGGGGACGATGGCATCGACTGGGGTGACGGGGAGGGACAGGAGGGGACGATCACCGTGCTGGAGGCTGGAACTGAGGGTGAGCAGGGCTGGGGGGTCCCAAATCCCCCCAAATCCCCCATGCCCAGTGCCCCTGGACGCCCCAGGGGGTTTGGGGTGGGACAGGGAAAGATTTGGGTGCTGGGCAGGGATTTGGGTGCTGGGCAGGGATTTGGGTTCTGGGCAGGGATTTGGGGTGCTGGGTAGGGATTTGGGTGCTGGGCAGGGATTTTTGGGTGCTGGGCAGGGATTTGGGGTGCTGGGCAGGGATTTGGGTGCTGGGCAGGGATTTGGGTGCTGGGCAGGGATTTGGGTGCTGGGTAGGGATTTTGGGTGCTGGGCAGGGGTTTGGGGCTCCCTGGGGTGAAGCTGAGCTGAGTTTGGGGTCCCACCCCGCCGCAGCCCCCGAGGACGTTGCCCGCGGCTCGGACGCGCTGACCCTGCTGGAGAACCCCGAGACACGGAACCAGTTCATCGACGAGCTGATGGAGGTGGGCGCCGGGGACAGCGGTGTCCCTGGGGTGGCCCTGGGGTGGCCCTGGGGTGGCCCTGGAGGTGGCCCTGACAGTGACCCTAAAGGTGGCCCTGATGGTGGCCCTGATGGTGACCCTGACCATTGCCCTGATGGTGGCCCTGATGGTGGCCCTGATGGTGGCCCTGCTGTGCCCTGTTGGTGGCCCTGGCAGTGGCCTTGGTGGTGGCTCTGGAGGTGGCCCTGGCAGTGGTATTGGTGATGGCCCTGCTGGTGGCCATGGTGGTGGCCCTGCTGTGGCCCCAGTGGTGGCCCTGACAGTGGCCTTGTTGGTGGCCCTGCTGGTGGCCTGGCAGTGGCCCTGGCAGTGGTATTGGTGGTGGCCCTGCTGTGGCCCCAGTGGTGGCCCTGCTGGTGGCCCTGGCAGTGGCCTTGTTGGTGGCCCTGCTGGTGGCCTGGCAGTGGTGTTGGTGGTGGCCCCGCCGTGCCCTGACGCCGCCCGTGCCCTGTCCCCTGTCCCCTGTCCCCTGTCCGCAGCTGGAGCTGTTCCTGGCGCAGCGGCTGCAGGAGCTGGAGGCCGAGGCCGACGTGGTGGCCATGAGCCAGCTGCAGCTGGCCCCGGCCGCGCTGCAGGGCCAGAGCCGCGGGCGGCTGCGGGCGCAGCTGGCCACCGCGCAGGACCTGCTGCGCCAGCTCTGCTCCCGCAGCGTGCAGCACCTCTGCATGATCCTCGCCTCGCCCAGGTGCCGGGACTGCCCCGAAGGGACACACTGCCCCGGAACGGTTCTAAACAGCCCCAAAACGGCCCTAAACTGCCCTGAAACAGCCCTAAACTGCCCCAAAATGGCCCTAAACTGCCCCAAACTGCCCTGAAACGGCCCTAAACTGCCCCAAAATGGCCCTAAACTGCCCCAAACAGCTCCATGCTGTCCCTGCTGTCCTGTGTCCCTCTCCCCGTGTTGTCCCGTGTCCCGTGTCCCCTCCCCACAGTGACACCGCTGTCCCGTGTCCCGTGTCCCCTCCCCGCGGTGACCCCTGTCCCGTGTCCCGTGTCCCCTGTCCCGTGTCCCCTCCCCGCGGTGACCGCTGTCCCGTGTCCTGTGTCCCGTGTCCCGTGTCCCCTCCCCACAGTGACACCGCTGTCCCCTGTCCCGTGTCCCCTCCCCGTGGTGACCCCTGTCCCGTGTCCCATGTCCCTCTCCCCGTGCTGTCCCGTGTCCCGTGTCCCCTCCCCGCAGTGACTGCTGTCCCCTCCCCATGATGTCCCCTGTCCCCTCCCCACAGTGACTGCTGTCCCGTGTCCCGTGTCCCGTGTCCCCTCCCCACAGTGACTGCTGTCCCCTGTCCCGTGTCCCCTGTCCCCTCCCCGCGGTGACCGCTGTCCCGTGTCCCGTGTCCCTCTCCCCGTGCTGTCCCGTATCCCGTGTCCCCTCCCCGCGGTGACCGCTGTCCCATGTCCCCTGTCCCGTGTCCCGTGTCCCGTGTCCCCTCCCCACAGTGACTGCTGTCCCCTGTCCCATGTCCCCTGTCCCGTGTCCCGTGTCCCCTCCCCGCGGTGACCCCCCTGCTGTCCCGTGTCGCAGGTACGTGGAGCGGGTGGCTGCGCTGCTGCGGCGGCAGCTGCTGCAGGCCGAGCTGCTGCAGGCCAAGCGAGCGGCGCTGGGCCAGCGGCGCCGCCAGGCCCTGGCCGAGCAGGCGGCCCTGGAGCCGCGGCTGCAGCGGCTGCAGGAGAGAAGCCGGGAGCTGCAGCGCCTGGTGAGGGACCCCCGAGAGCCCCGAGAGCCCCCCCGAGCCTCCCTGAGGCCCCTGAGCCCCCTGGGCCCCACAAGAGCCTCCCTGAGCCCCCCAAGCCCCCTGAGCCTCCCCCCAAGCCCCCCTGAGCTCCCCGTGCCCCCCTGAGAACCCCGAGAGCTTCCCGGGCGGGTCCTGAGCCCTCCCGGTGCCGTTGCAGATCGAGGCCGACATCTCCAAGCGCTACGGGGGGCGCCCGGTGAACCTGATGGGCGTCAACGTGTGACACTGGGACACCTGGGGACATCGGAGTGGGACACTGGGGACATCAGCAGGACACCTGGGGACATCGGAGTGGGACACTGTGACACCTGGGGGACATCAGCCTGTGACACCTGGGGACATCGGAGTGGGACACCTGGGGACACCAGCCTGTGCCTGTGGCCCCTGATGTCACGGGGGGTCCCCAGGGTGCCGCGCCCCTCCCAGTCTCCCCTGCCCCCCCAGGGGTGCTGCGGGCTTTGGGGGTGTCGCCGAATAAACCCAAATTTGGTGTCACATCGAGTGGGCTTGGGGCGGGGACAGGAGCGGCGTGTCACCGAGGGGGCACAGGGACAGAAGGGTGGGGGGCCAGACCCGGAGCGGGGCTCGGGACCACCGGCCCCGATCACCCAAAACCCCCCCAGACCCCCCAAACTGGGACAAACTGGGCCGGACTGGGACAAACTGGGCCGGACTGGGCGGGGGCTCCGCAGCGGCTGCGGGGCGGGGCTGGCGCGCCCAGTGACGTCACATGCAGACCACGCCCCTCCGACAGCTGATTGGCTGGTGTCGCGATAGCCCCGCCACATTTCAGGCGTCCCGGCCGCTGATTGGCCCGGCTCTGGTGTGGCACCGCCCCCAGGCGGGGCTGGGAGTTCTCAATGGGGCTGGGGGGTCCCAATGGGTGTTTTGGGGTGCTGAGGGGCGTTCTGGGGTGTTTTGGGGTGCTGTGGAGCCGCTGTCTCCCCCGCCAGCCCCTTTGTCTCCGTGTCACCCGCGGGGTCTTCGCGCCCCCTCCCTCTTCTCCTCCTCCTCCTCTTCCTCTTTGTTCTCGGGCCCGGGGGGACACCGAGGGGACACGGAGCCCCCCGGGCATGGGGACACCCAGGAGGGGGCTGGGCTGGGTTTTGGGGGGGGGCTCCGTGCCCTGAAACACCCCGCCCCCCTCCCCACCCCCGGCCGGCTCCTCTTTGGGGATCCCCAGCGGGAGGGGACCCCCTGTGATTGAGGGGGGGCGCTACAATGAGGAGTCCCCAAAAGGGAAGGGGGTTCGTAGGGGCGGAGTTTTGGGGGGTCTCGGGCACCGGGGGGTCCCGGTTTGGGGGCTCAGGGCGGGGTCCCGGAGACGGGGGTCCCATTTTGGGGGCTCAGGGCGGGGTCCCGGANCCGAGCCCCCCAAGAACCCCCCGAGCCCCCCTGAGCACCCCCCGGTGCCGTTGCAGATTGAGGCCGACATCTCCAAGCGCTACGGGGGGCGCCCGGTGAACCTGATGGGCGTCAACGTGTGACACTGGGACACCTGGGGACATCGGAGTGGCACCTGTGACACCGGGGGACATCGGCCTGTGACACCTGGGGACATCGGAGTGGCACCTGTGACACCGGGGGACATCGGCCTGTGACACCTGGGGACATCGGAGTGGGACACTGTGACACTTTGGGACATCAATTTAACACCTGGGGACATCAGAGTGTGACACTGGGGACATCAGCCTGGGACCCCCAGGGGACACCAGCCTGTGCCTGTGGCCCCTGATGCCACGGGGGGTCCCCAGGGTGCTGCGCCCATCCCAGCCCCCCCTGCCCACCCGGGGGTGCCGCGGGGTTTGGGGGTGTCGCCGAATAAACCCAAATTTGGTGGCACATCGAGTGGGCTTGTGGCGGGGACAGGGATGGAACAGGGACAGGGACAGGGGACGGGGATGGGGGCAGGGAAAGGGACAGGGACAGGGATGGGACAGGGGGGTGGGGGCCAGACCCGGAGCGGGGCTCGGGGCCACCGGCCCCGCTCCTTTGGGTGCCCCGGGGGGGTCCCATTTCCCAGCAGAGCGGGCGGTGCGTGGGCGCTGTCGCCGGCGCTGGCGGTCCCCGGGCGCGGTGGCACCGGGACCCCGCGATCACCCCAGACCCCCCCTAAACCCCCCCAAACTGGGCCGGACTGGGATAAACTGGGACAAACTGGGCCGGACTGGGCGGGGCTGCTGCGACCAGTGACGTCACCCTCTGACCACGCCCCCTCCGGCAGATGATTGGCTGGTGTCGCGATAGCCCCGCCACATTTCAGGCGTCCCGGCCGCTGATTGGTCCGGCTCTGCTGTGGCACCGCCCCCAGGCGGGGCTGGGAGTTCTCAATGGGGCTGGGGGGTCCCAATGGGTGTTTTGGGGCGCTGTGGGGTGTTTTGGGGCTCTGTGAGGTGGTTTGGGGTGTTTTGGGGCGTTCTGGGGTGTTTTGGGGCGCTGTGGGGTCGCTGTCTCCCCCGCCAGCCCCTTTTTCCCCGTCTTTGTCCCCGTGTCACCCGCGGGGCCTTCGCGCCCCCCCCCCCCCCCCCCCCCCCCCCCCCCCCCCCCCCCCCCCCTTTGTTCTCGGGCCCGGGGGGACACCGAGGCGACACGGAGCCCCCCGGGCATGGGGATACCCAGGAGGGGGCTGCGCTGGGTTTTGGGGGGCGCTCCGTGCCCTGAACCCCCCCCCCCTCCCCAGCCCCGGCCGGCTCCGCTTTGGGGATCCCCAGGGGAAGGGGAACCCCCTGTGATTGAGGGGGGGCGCTACAATGGGGAGTCCCCAAAAGGGAAGGGGGTTCGTAGGGGTGGAGTTTTGGGGGGTCTCGGGCACCGGGGGTCCCGGTTTGGGGGCTCAGGGCGGGGCCCCGGAGACGGTGGTCCCGGTTTGGGGGGTCAGGGCGGGGTCCCGGATTGGGGGGTCCCGGTTTGGGGGCTCAGGGCGGGGCCCCGGAGACGGTGGTCCCGGTTTGGGGGGTCAGGGCGGGGTCCCATGCGCTGCCGCGGAGCCGCCGGCAGGTGGCGCTGCAGGACCGCGAATGCGCGAAGGGGCGTGGCATAGGGGCGGGGGCAATGTAGGAACGGGCGTGGTCAAATACCTTATTAGGTTGTTCGTACGTGTGTAATGGGCGGGGCTATGCAAATAAATCCGGTGTCGCAGGGGGCTCTGGGAAAGAGCCGCGGCGTTGGGGCCGCGGCGTTGGGGGGCGAAGCGGGGGCGGATTTTGGGGTCCCGGGGGGATTTTGGGGTGCCAAGAGCGCATTTTGGGGTGCCATGGGAGCGTGGGGGGCCCTGGACAGGCCGTGCCAGCTCGGGGGCCTCTGTAGAGTTGGGGTTACCCCCCGAGAATGGGCCAAAACCCGGGTGGGCGGGGGTCCCAAAAAGGGGTGATCCCAATGTGGGGAGGGGTCTGTGGGGTTGGGGGTCCCAAAAAGGGGTGATCCCAACGTTGGGGTGTCCTCAGGATGGTTGTCCCAAGGTTTGGGGGGTCTGTAGGGAACATCCATGGGGAGTGGGGGGTCCCAGCCCCACGGGACCCCTGTGCTGGCCCCACGGAAGTGATCACTCCCTAAGGATTGGGATTTAACAACAAAGCCCCATAAATATCCCAAAAACCCGCCCCGGTAAGGAGGGAAAGAGTCGGGTCCGCCCCGACACCGGATTGGGCAGGAAAATCTTTAATTGTAGCTGGATCCAGCTGGGAAGGACAAACTTCATTAGTGCCTAATTAATCCCTGGATATCATCAACGCTGGGGGAGGATCCCAGACCTGGGAAGGAGCTCCTGGATCCATCCCAAACAATCCCAGTGCCTGCTCCCATTCCCTGAGCTCTCCCAGCCTGGAATTTTCTGGTGGCTCACCCAAATTTTGCCTTGTTTGGGAAAATTTTTGCTTTAATTTTGGGGCTGGAGCGTTTTCCTGGGAGGAAAAAGCAGGGAAGGGGCTCGGTGCCCGCCTCAGTGGCACGAGGTGGGCACGGGGACAGGGCCAGCTGTCCCCAAACAGCGCTGGGGACACTAAAAATAACCCGGGAGGGACAGCCCGGCTCGGGTTCCCAGCTGGAAACTGCCCCGGGCAGGCACGGGAGGGTTTGGGGGGGCTCCCAGACACCCCCTGTTCCAACCCTGGGGGGAATTTAGGGTGGAAAACAGCCCCAAAATCCAACCCTGGGGGGGTTTCAGGGTGGAAAACACCCCCAGAATCCAAACCAGGGGAGTTCAGTGGGAAAGCAGCTCCAAATCTCCATCCCAGGGGGGCTTAGGATGGAAAATACCCCAAAAATCCAACCTTGGGTGGGTTCAGGGTGGAAAACACCCCCAAATCTTCAACCTGCTGGGGCAAGAGCCCCAAAATCCAACCCAGGATGGGTTTAGGGTGGGTAACACCTCCGAAATCCACCCCAGGGTGGGTTTAGGGTGGAAAACACCCCCAAAATCCAACCCTGGGGGGGTTCAGGGTGGAAAATAGCCCCAAAATCCACCCAGAGAATCTCCGGGATCTGGGCACTTCCAACCTCTCCAGCACCTTCCCTTGTCTCCCTGGATCTCTGTAGGTTTTTGGGGGGCACAAAGAGGCTGGGAAACGCCTGGGAGAAGCTGGCCAGGCTCGCCCTGCCGCGAGGTGCGGATCCCACACCGCTTTCTCCGTGTTTGTTTTGTTTCCCCGGGATGAAGCAGCGCCCGTGGCATCCCGTGTGTCCCGGCAGGTTTGTGGGGCAGGGAAGGAATGGCAGGATCGGGGCGGTGCTGCCAGGGCCTGCCAGCTGCTGGCACGGTGTGGGCAGGGATTGCACAGGGAGCAGGGATGGGCAGGAATCCTCTGTAGATCCATGTGGGAATGGGAGAAAGGGCAGGGATTGCACAGGGAGCAGGGATGGGCAGGAATCCCACAGGGATCTGCGTGGGAAGGGGCAGGAATCCTCTGTGGATCCATGGGGGAATGGGAGGAGGGGCAGGAATCCCACATGGAGCAGGGATGGGCAGCAATCCTGTGTGGATCCATGTGGGAAGGGGAAAAGGGGCAGGAATTCCATGTGGATCTGTGTGGGAAGGGCAAGAATCCCACAGGGATCTGTGTGGGAAGGGGAGAAGGGGCAGGAATCCCACAGGGATCCCATGTAGATCCATGTGGGAATGGGTGAAGGGGCAGGAATTCCATGTGGATCCATGTGGGAATGGGTGAAGGGGCAGGAATTCCATGTGGATCCATGTGGGAAGGGCAAGAATCCCACAGGAATCTGTGTGGGAATGGGAAAAGGGGCAGGAATCTCAGACAGATCCATGTGGGAAGGGCAGGAATCCCATGTGGATCCATGTGGGCAGGAATCCCACAGGGGTTGGTGTGGGAAGGGGCAGGAATCTCACCCAGATCCATCTGGGAAGGGGAGGAATCCCACAGGAATCTGTGTGGGAATGGGAGACGGGGCAGGAATCCCACAGGGATCCGTGAGGGAAGGGGCAGAAATCCTGCATGGAGAAAGGGAGGGCAGGAATCCCATGTGGATCCATGTGGGAAGGGAAGAAGTGGCAGTAATTCTGTGTGGATCCATGCGAGAATGCCCGCGCCATAAAGAACAAAACACCGCTCCCTGTGTGCCCCGGGGGATCAGCCCCGAATCTCCCCGCGGGGACGGGGGAGGCTCCCAGCAGCACCACCCAGGGCTGTAAGGGCGCCGGGAGCTCCCGCGGGCAGCCGGGCTGAGGCGGCGGCCGGGCAGCGGCTGCGGCCCTCAGCGCGCCGGGGCCGCCATGGCGGCCTCACCCCGCCCGTTGCCACGGCAACCGCTGCGGGGGCAAAGCGATTGGTGCGCGCCGCTGCCATTCAAATTCTCTGCGTCGTCTCATTGGTTGATATCGCTGTCACTCAGTAGGGGTTATACGCGCCATTGGGTGGGCGCGCTGTCACTCAAGCACGCAGCGGGGCGAGCCGCGCTTCCCCGCTTCTGATTCTCCATTGGCTCGGCCGCGCCGAGCGCGACGGCCGCCCGCGCCTTCTCGCGCGCCCATTGGTCAGTTCGCCTGCCAATCAAAGCGCCGCCGGGGAGGCGGGAGGCACTCCCAGCCGCTCGCTTCCCATTGGTCCGCGCCGCGCTCTC